TGAGTATTGTAAATATTATTTCGTAAAATTTCTTTAAAAAAATAAGAGACATTGGATCTGTTTGCGCCCTGGCTGTCTCATTTATCGCCGGCTGTAATATAAAAAGTAACAGATGACAAACTGAAAACGTAAAAAAACACATAATTGTATAATTAAGAAATAACTTGGACTTTTGCTAAACGTAGTACCATAGTTGTTTATTTCGTGTAGTATTTAGCTTAGAAAGTATATAATTAATGTCAAATAGTGCCTCGCCCAACTTTATCATAAGTGTATTTGAAACATATTTATTGGAAAACGCATTGATTAGTTTTTAATAAAAACTAAAACTTCATTTTCAAATTAAACTGAAAATTTTTTTTATTAAAAATCTAAAAATGTATTCTTATTGATTAAGCCGATTATTTTCACTTATCAAGTAAAAATGAAAAATTCAAGTTCGTGCAACTTGTCTTAATGCAAAATGTTACTTACGCCTAGTTAGTTAGTTATTGATTGTATTCTTAATTTATCTGAAAGGATGTGTATAAAATTTTAACATGCAGATATGAGGGTAATTGTACTGCGTCTCATGTATTCAGAGTTTATTGCCGTGGCCCGTCGGTCTCATGTTACTATACTTAACGGCTACCCCATTTGATTATATTGAGCGCACCATCTCAGAAACTCCGAAATAACAGCGTAAATCATTGGGTGCGTATTTAGTTCAATATTCTTTATGAAAGAAGCTTGATTTTGGTAATTGGAAAGTACATGTGTTTCAATGTATAGTTGGTTTGTGATACTTGTGTATAGAAATTATGTTTAAAAAGAAATTTTCAGACCAACATGAATTATCCATATAATTGATAAATACATAAATACAATACTCTTTTCTTGGCACGTGCTCTTCTAATTGACTGTTTAAAAAAATTCCGACGATTATTATAATTTTTTGCAATCGATGGATATCATGGTCTTATAGATCAGGGGTCGGCAAGCTTTTAACTGTAGTGTGCCAAGCCACTCTACCAATATGTTTTAGAGTGCCGCCTTAATTTTGAAATAAATAGTTAGGTTTTAGGGGAGAAGAATTATAACCAAATTTATCTTTTAAACATATTTATTAACAAATAACATGAATATCTAATATAAACAGTGCCCGATTACCCCAAAGGCCCGTGAGACCCGGGCCTAGGGCGGCATAATTTAGGGGGCGGCAAATTTTTCAAAATGTAAAAATTTTAAACTCGATGAAATGACACGACAATTCATTTTAAGGATAGATCCTGAATTTTTTTTGTAAATTTAGAGATCATTTTCGATGAAATAGAACGTAATGCGTTTTCCAATCAAATTTATTATTCGTGGGTGCCGCATTGATATTTTCTTGATGTATCATATTATCAACTTCAGGAAGGCTAAGTTATAATAATCCTAAAAAATCGTAAATCAAATTGGTTATATCTCTACGCTTCAAGTTCTCCTGAACATTTTGACATGCCTTAGATAAAATGGATGTATGCATGTGTTTATGCGGTTACAATTTTTTGCCAATTGGCATTCGGGAAGACGTGCTGATTAGTTTTTTGCAAAGACAGTTTCGGAATAGGGAGCAAAGAGTTAAAATATGCTAATTCAATTTTTCAAAAACGAAGCGTCCGATTTGAATAATTCAAGACACTTTTTACTTGTATGACGAAATAAGAACTATCGAAAATTTTGCGAGAGCATGATCAGCGTTTTTGGTGATCCAAAAAGGTGTCATTTGGTGATAAAAAATGATCATTGACATCAAATTATTAGATTTTTTATAAAAAAATTATTAATTATTACAAATTTTGTCTTCATTATTTTGAATCATTCCGTACCAATATTTTTAATTTTCAAAGTTTATTTCTTAGATAGTTTAAATGTCCTTTGCAAGGATCAATGGCCATGAATGATTAAAAAAATATTCGCTTGGCTTTGACTGAGAGGCACACTGTTTATGCAGGCAGGTTTAGCATTTTTGGAGATACAGAGCGCAGAAGGTGCTCAAGAAAAATTTTCATTTTCGATCTTTTGCGATTACGATAACTTACGAGTACTTTACGCAAAGTTAAAGGTTGTATTTAAGTAATTTAGAACAAAATTATAGTTTAATTAAAAAAGTAAAAAATTGTCTATTAAAAAGGGCGCCTGATCAGATAATAGGGCCTAGGGCGGCAGAAAGCTTAATGCGCCACTGAATATAAACTAAACAACTTTAATGTGAACCTTGTGCCTGCACCTTTTTCCTCAACATTTCAATATCCGGGGTATAATTTGTAACTTTTAATTTCACACAAGATACTGAATGTTTAGTTGTTAAACGATTTCTTTGTGAACTCAAAATATGTTTCATGTGAGAAAAAATTTGTTCACAGAGATATGTGGAACCAAAAGCTGAAAGGAGAGCGCATACAAATTTTTTTATACAATTAAATCTTTTCCGGCAATGTCATTCAACAATTTAATATGGCTGTCGATTTTCCATAGAGTCATCTTCGAGATTTATTTGTAATTTCTTCAAAATATAGGCACATAAGCTTCAAAGTCTTTGCATCTTCTGGAAAATTAATCTTTAAGTACTTCAACGTAAGTTGAATTACATACATTAGCGAGCTACGTTAGAAAAATAATTATAATTAAACATTTTCTCTTATTTAAAAATCGCTCAATATTTGAGATTTTCCTGATTACTTTATAGAGTGCCATTCAGAACCCCATCGCGTGCCAAGTCTGGCACGCGTGCCGTAGGTTGCCGATGCCTGTTATAGATCATACTAAAATATTATGGCCCTACAACAGTCGTTTAATTTTGAAAATTCATTAAAGTTTGAAAAAAGTATGATCATAATTTATTACTTAACCAAAGTATTATTTTATGTTACTTATTATGATAGTTTTTTTATAAAGTCTACGTGTATGTATGTGTATGTATTTATGCACTTATATGTGAATGTGCATATATGCGAATGTATGTATATGTATGCGAATTATATGAGTACATATGTATGTCTATCTGTATGTAAGTAGATGTGTATGTATGTGTATATATTTTTTTTTTTTTTTTATTTTTTTTATTTTTTTTTTTTTTATAGAGAAGGAAAAATCTTTCAAAGACACCGTGTGTTTAAAAGATGATGGACGGTAGTGTGGGATTTCCACCCACTAAAAAACCTCCTCTCCTCATTTCCCCGCATATGATCACGAGGAAGACTGGGTCGGAACCGCGTTAGCATTTCTTCAACCCAGTCCGTGTTGCGTCACGTGACGTTAGCTTCTAAGTTTATTGGTCCCTCTCGGCGATTTTTGCTGTCAAGAGGCGCCGTGCATAAGCTGCAACCTCGGCCCAGTTTTCCTTGCTTTGCAGCATAGTATTTACAATGTTCTGGGGATTAAGGGCCCTTCCCAGGGACAATTCGGTGTCAGCCCTGAAGTTCTTCCAGCGCGTGCACTTAAAAAAGGTGTGCTCAGCATCGTCGGCTTTTTCCGGACAGTATTTGCACGTCGGTGATGTGTGCAAACCGAACCTGAAGAGATATGCATTGAACGAGCCATGACCCGTCATCATCTGAGTTAGAAAGAAGTCTGTTTCGCCATGCTTCCTGTCGAGCCAGGCCTCGATATTAGGGATCAGGCGTGCTGTCCATCTACCACGATCAGACGCCTGCCACCTTACTTTCCATTCCTTCAGGGTGTCCTTTCTCACCATTGCCCTCGCTTCGCTGGCATTGAGGCCTCCTTTTTTGAGGTTATACAACCTGGCCCTTTCATTCGCCAAAAGGTCTATAGGCGGAGCTCCAGCTATAACAAGCACTGCGTCTTCGGAAACTGTGCGATAGGCACAAGCCACTCTAAGTGCTCCGCGCCGCTGCACTGCTGCCAGTTTCTTACGATACGTCTTCTGTTGTAATGTATGCGCCCAGATTTCCGCTCCGTAAAGCAGGACTGAGTGAACCACCTCCAGGAGAGCTCTCCTCTTTTTGGCACGTGGGCCGATAGTATTGGCCATGATTCTCGATAGACTAGACACAGTCTTGCTAGCCCTTGTACACGTGCGTTCCAAGTGTTCACGGAATGTCAGCTTTGCATCTAACTGAACGCCCAAATAGCGAACTGACTTTGTAGACGTCAGTGTTAGCCCGTCGATGATTGTACTAAACGGTTCTGGGAACCATTTTTGGCGTGTTAGGACTACCATCTCCGTTTTCTCTTTGGCTAGCTTCAGATGGTGCTGGTCCAACCAGGCCGCGACGGCTTCGATGGTGAAATCGACCAGTACCTCGGCCTCTTCAACGCTGTCTGCCACAATAGTAGCTGCGACATCATCCGCAAACCCTGTGAGATGCACCTGCGGGGGTAAGGGAATTTCGAACAGCTCGTCATAGTCAGCGTTCCACAGATCAGGTCCCATAACCGAACCCTGTGGTGCACCAGCTGTTATCTTGCGGCTCACTGTTCCCTCAGTGGTTTCAACGATGAGTACTCGATCGTCCAGGTAGCTGTCCACCATTGTCAAGATGTCATCTTTCACCCGGAATCTCTTCTCCAGCGCCTCCAGTATATCCTTCCACGATGCGCTGTTGAAAGCATTTTTCACGTCCAACGTGAGAAGTATACAAACTTTCCTAGACTTTAGGCTGCCAGCCCACGACTTTGTTGCGGTTTCTACAACTTCTTTGATTGCATCGATGGTTGATCGCCCTTTCCGGAAGCCGTACTGGCTTGAGGAGAAACCTCCGGAGGATTCAACATCTTTTCGAAGTCTGGCTTTGATAAGTTTTTCAAGCAGCTTCCCAGTTATATCCAGCATACACAGTGGTCTGTATGATGAAGCTGTTATCGGAGGTCCCTTTCCTTTGTCGAGAAGGACGAGTCTTTGTCGTTTCCAGACAGAAGGGAACGTTCCGGTCACAAGGCATGCATTGTAAACATTCAACAGGATGTAAGGAAATTCCTGTGCAATGAGCTTAATCACTTGTGTTGGAATACCGTCAGGGCCGGGTGCTTTCCCTAGTTTCAGGGTTTTTTGCTGCGGTTTGCAGTTCCGAAACAGTGAACTGCAACACATTGGTGGTGTTCTTGTAGCGACTCTTCTTCCGCGCTGGGTGGTTTGGGAAGAGCTCAGTAACAATCTGGTTCATCATAGCCGGGCTTTTTGGCGGCTCTGGTAAGGTTCTACCCAATCCTTTTGCGACTATATGGTAGGCTTTGCCCCAGACATCGTTATTGAGGTCGTTGCAAATTTCTGCCCACAGCTTGCCTTTACTGGACTTGATGGCTCTATTGAGCTCCTTCTTGGCCGCCTTGTACTCATTGGAGTAGTAGGTCTGAGCTGGGGAGTGCTTAGCAGCTCTTGTTGCTCGTCGTCGGAGTTGGTGACATTTTTTCCTCAGCTCTGCGATTTCGCATGTCCACCAATATGCTGGCCGGCGCAAGTCCTGTGTTTTACGACGTGGCATAGAAGCATTGCATGCTGCAGTTATAATCTTCATCGTTTTTGTTACAATGTTTTCCGTCTCGCTGCTGTTAGTTGGGAACGGATGTGATTCGAGTGTCACCCACCCCCGCGTGAGGGATTCTCGTAGAGCATCAATGTCCAACTTCCTGGTATTCCAGCTGCATCTTTCGTAATCTCGGTGTACGTGGTGGGTAGTCTCTTCTATCCAGTAGATGATGGATTGATGATCACTTCCAGTGTATTCCTCGGAGACCTTCCAGTCCTGGATTCTACTGGCAGTTTTTGGAGTCGCCAGAGTAATATCGAGAATTGACTCTCGATAACCAGGTCTTCTAAATGTCGACGTCACTCCAGTATTTAGGACTGTAAGATCGAGCCTCGCTGCCATGTCCGCAACTTCGTTTCCCCTGGTGTCTGAGAAATCTGCGCCCCATTCCACAGACTTAGCATTGAAGTCTCCAGCTATTAAGACTTCGCCATTAAATCCACAGATGGTGTTCTCGATGCTGGTCAGGTTCTGGCGGAAACGCTGATTCCTTCGTTGGGAGATAAATATACGCTCATGATATACATTTCAGGGGTTTTTATCCAGACATAACCATCCCCAGATCCGGTATCTACGGGAGTAATCTTCCGAGTCACTAACCAGATAGCTGCTGTACTCGTCTTATCCACGTACCATGATTTAACAAGGGCGCTCTGGTATTGTTCGCTGATTATGCAGACGTCAATTTTGTCCTCAGCTACGCGCTGGTATGTATGTGTATATGTATGTATATATATGTGTGTATATATGTGTGTATATGTATATAGATATAAATATATAAGTTATGAATTAGCAACAATATTATAAAACTGTATAAAGCCGATTGGCGTATAAATAAATAAATAAATTAATGAATAAATAAATAATTTGTAACCAAACGCCGCTGTTGTAATGTGATAAGTCAAAATGTGAATTTCCCAATGCTAAAAGCCATTGGAATAAATACGATAGGGAGGAGTCGCGATTAGGTTTGCAAGAAAATTGGCCAAGCCGTTAAAAATTAGAAATGGCTTTAGAATTAGTAAAATAGTAAGTGAGCAGTCTTCAAATCTTCGCTAATTGTATAAAAAAATACCATTAATTTAAATAATTAGATAATATCAAAAACTACGTACATAATAGATGTAATCGTGCAGTTAAAAATGCCACTTTTAACTTGTTATTATATTACTTATATTACCTTCAGTATAAGAAACACTTTTTTTGCAAAATGAATCCGATCGAGTTTCCTTTTTGTTCAGAATCGTGCTCAGTACAGTTCCTTCTTCGGACACTTTTTTTTCAGAATTTTTTCATTGCTCATCTTGTTTGATCATTTTATCTTCTCCATTCGCATTGAGCACTAAATTTTAAAAACCTCCAGATTATTTTTGTCGGCCTTTCTCGGAGTTCCAGACATAACTATTTATTAGTCTTCCGCACGTCGAGGCTCAATTTCTTCGTCAGTAGCTTTCATTATTTCGTGAATGCCGCTTGCAATACTTGATGATCCCTTTCGTGCAGAATCCATCTCTGGTCAGGATGCTTCCCAAATATTTGAAATAGCACATATCTTCCAATTCTAGATATCCTACCAATATCTTTAGTAGCTATCTCGTTTCGATATTCTCATCACTTTTGATTTGTCCATGTTGATCCGCATCTTCTAACTACTTAGATTATTCTGCTCATCATGTTTTGTAGCTTAATTTCAGTTTTTATTATTATTACGAAATCATTTGAGTACTTCATTATGGTGATTCTTCAATCTCTAATAAAAAAATCTCCAGCCCTTTCGAATATTTCGTTGACGAGTCATTTCAATAAGATCGGTGACACACTCTTCTACCTATTTCGTGGCTGCTTGTATTTTTCTGGTTTACTCAAACCTTTACTATTTGTCACATGTACAGTCTCTGGACCAGCCTGCGGTCTCTCTAATCTTGAACAAGATGAACAATCCGACAAATTGTTGTGCTGAAAGCTGTGTGTAGTGTATGTATCTAAGCCAAAATCAAACCTTTAGTCGATATCTTTTTAAAAACAGTATACCGATTTCATAATTTTTTAAATCCATTTGATAAAATTGGATAGAAATCCACATGATTAGATTTACACGACGATCAGCAGCGTTTCATCATAATTAGCAGATAAGTGCAAAAAAAAATTTTGTCCGCGTTTTAGCTAAAAATTCTGAACCAATTTTAAATTCTTAAAGTTGTTCAAAAAATATAATTCGGAAAATGCGCTGATTAGATTTTAGTAAAAAGCAGCTTGGCCGTTTTTTCTAACAAAAACTCATTTACTATTTTTATAACATATACATATAATATTATCATTACTAATGTAGCAAGATAAATTACCCCTGTTTTCTCCTATGGATATGTTACTGTTTCTAGCAGTTCTATAATTGAAAAGATTATCCTGCAGATCTGGCTGGTAATAATGCTAACAAAATTTATTGTTAGATATATTAATATAAAAATACTATAATAAGTAATTTTTTGCTTACTTATATGATGAGCATAACTTGCACCAAAGCTGTGCCTCCCTCAGGTAACATTGGGCTCAGCCTCAACTTCATCATGATTCATTGTTCGAACTCGCTTCTGCACCGTCCCCAAATTCATATCTGATGTCATGTGCGACTTTAAGCTTACTCCTCCTTCTCACTGCCCCTTGAAAAGTTTAATCAAAATCGTTAAAATAAGTTAAAAAATCAATAACGAAGGAATTACCTAAAATATAACCAAGATCATTGTTTCCAACCAGGCTACGACCCACCTTTACATTTTTAAAAACGTTATGGCCCCATGATGACCCTTTCATACAAAATTTTCAACCTTCAAAACCCTTATTTTGATCTTTAAGATATATAAATGATAATTTTGAAGAAGAATTTAATATTAAATTGTTATCAAAACATCATATATTTAAAATTTTAAACCATGTAATAACTAGTGGTATCATAATTAAGGCAAATTACTGTAACTTTTCGTAATGTAAAATTTTGAATTCATTTTTATTTCTTTAGATTTTTTTCAAAGCGCCTCGTAGCTGTTTAAAAGAAATTATCGAAGCGCGTAAGCGCCGCGTCGTTGTCTTCCGATTAGACATTATAAATCTTAATATTACATATTAAGACATAATAAATATAGAACTATTATAAAACACATAAAAATGTAAACAACATTTACACTTAAGTATTAAAATATCTATTAATTAATTGATGATTTGATGTGCATATGTCTAATGTAATAATCGCGAAAAAATCAAAAATAAAATTTTTTATATATCTTTACGGTTCAGGGTTTTCGAATCATTTTGGCATCCCTTAGAAAAAAAATGATGAGTGTGTATGTGTGTGTGTGCGTGCGTGTATGTGTGTATATATGTGCGGATACAATTTTTCGTCGACAATTTCGAGAACACGGATCGAACAATTTGAATAATTTAATCAACATTCGATTCCTATTGATAAAGAGACCTTGTGATTAGTTTTTGGCAAAGGCAGATTTAGCCGTTCCAAAGATACGGGGCAAAAAGAGCCAAAAATGGTAATTCAATTTTTGAGAGAACTGAGAGTCCGATTTGAATGATTCGTAAAATATTTTTCAATGTTTTACAATGAAATGCACCTACCTATCTTTAACAAACGCACTAATCGGCACAAACCAATATCGCTAGACAATAATAACCAATGATTAGTCATCTATCTACCAAACAGTTTTTAAATTTTTAAAATCGATTCAGAATTCTTGGCTAAAACGAGGACAAACATGATATTTGTCAAATGTAAAGAAAGATTTTTTAAAATCGGTTCGATAGTATGAGCTTAAATGTGGACGAAAGGTTTAACACTTTTCTCCAAATTACAAAGAAACGGCTCGGCCGATCGTCACACAAAACTGAGAAACGATAAACCTCATCGAGATACATCAATAACTTTTTAAATATCTAAAATCGGTTCAGGCGTTTTTGAGCAAACGTCGATGAAAGTTCTAATTTTGACAAATGCCAAATAAACGATACTAATTTTTGCAAACTTTGACGAATTTTTAAAGCTAAACGAGTTGTCGTAAGGTCGTAATATTTTAGTATGATCTAGAAGACTATGGTATCTACCGTCAAAAAAATAGTAGTAAAAATCGTCGAAAAAAAATTTAAAATTCATTTATCATACCTTCAAAATTTGTTGTTGAAGACAGCCTTTATACTTTATCTATGAGGGAGCCCGAAATAGTCTGTTCGTTATCTAGATAATATCTGAATCTGATACATAGCGCGTGTATGGATAAGTGAAATGCTTATCAGCGACTGTCAGAATGTTTTGACAGTTTTCATTCGAGCCAGTTTTCAAGTACCAATTCAGTATTATTTGTAATGAATAAATTGAATTGGATGCTTTTGTTCTTAATTTATAAGCGATAAAATCTTATAGACCATGAATTTATCATTATATTTTGTGGGTTTGTTTAGATAATTTTTATTATATGTAGCGATAACCTCCGAAATGTGATAGCAAAACCTCTTTTTTCTAAGAGAAAAATTGATTATGTATTAATATGATTTTGAAGCAACCCTGTTGAAATGTGCAAGAGAGGAATAACAATGGCACAATCTGTTTGTTTATTCAGTTTAATTATTCTCTTAGTAGTATTTGGGTATGTAAGTTTTGCCCTTAATCTAAATATCTCATCTAGTGACGACTATAGCTTCAAAGTTGGAACTGCGTCTAATTCTGTTACAATGGTTACACTGGTCAGTATTCTATATATGCTAATCTTATTATCAGTTCAAATTATTGATGAACATGATCAATTTTCTAACAGCTCTTCAGGCATGGTGATAGAAATCCTACGGAAACATATGAAAAGGATCCTCATAAAAATTATACATGGGTTGGTGGTTACGGGGCCTTAACTAAGGTAATATTTATCAATATCAAACATAAATGTAAGTCTATTTTGATTATATTTTATTTACAGAAGGGTATAAAACAAATGTATATGTTAGGTAAAATTATGAATAGACGATATAAACATTTATTGCCAGATGAACCATATAGTAAGACTGTAATTACTGTTGATAGCAGTGCTGCAGATAGGTAAGTTAAATACTGCAGGCATATAAATAGCACCTATCTTTTATATTTTTATTTTCTGTTTCGGCGATTATCTTTAATTAATTTTTCAGATTTATGAAAACTTCATTCTTTGAATATCTTGCTTTTTGTATGATACTAGCTTACATTAAAACTTTATTTAATCGGTTTAAATTTGAATTTTCTTTAATCGTTAAATTATTATTATTTCAAAAACTGATTAACATGCGCATGAAAAGTTAGTAAACTCATAAAAAATTTTAATGTTGAATATAAGGTTTCAATTCTATATATCTAAAGATAAAGTTTTTATCTTATATTATTCATTATGTTTTTTCTATTCTAAATAAATAATCTATGAGCTACCTTTTTCATATTTTATTTATGTAATTATTAATATTCAAATATATTCATAATTTATTTCTATGTCAAATATGATGCTTCCTATAATTTATTACAATTTTAGTTAAATTACCCCATTTATATTACATGTTGCATTTTGTAATTTTATTTAATTCTATATAGGTGTTTAATGAGCGCTGCATCATTTCTAAGTGCTTTTTGGCCTCCACCGACGGAGTGGATATTGCCAATTGAATGGCAGCCTATACCAATTCATTACAGTTCCAGAACAGAAGATTATGTAAGTTATGTTCTTTAGTATAATAGGAATAATGTAAGCTTCTGAAGCAATTTCTGAAAGTATTTCTGATATTTAGTTTCAATAAAATTTCACTGTTTCACATAAAATTCTTTCATTTGGAGAATAAATATAGAAGCTTTAAACGGAAATCAAATTAGCTTTTACTACATAAATATATTTTTGTAATATACTCATAACTCACAATCTGTGATTTTGAATATTTTTCCACTACACTTTTATCGGGAATCCAAATTCTTCTTTATTTTATTTATTTGAAAAAACTATGTTTTTACATGTATCTGTTTAGTTATTAGCTCAAAAGAAAAAGTGTGAACGATATGAATCAGAATTAAAAGAAACATACATAAATGAGACATTAGAAGAATCCTTTGATATAAATTTTGATGGATTTTACGACATGCTTACACATCATACTGGGCAAAATGTAACTAATAAGCTGGATGTAGAATTATTATTTAATATTTTGGATATTGAGCACAGTAATGGATTAGAACTTCCTGAATGGACTAATTCATTGTATCCAACAAGACTGTTAAATATTGCAAAGAAAAATCTTCAATTGTTGACAAATACACATTTTATGAAGAGAATTAAAGGAGGTACATAATTTTACATACTATTTATGTAATGAATAGGAAATATGTGATTTTGTTTTGTTAAACTATTTGTAGGATATCCTAATTTAATAATGCATGCTTCATATGACAAAAATTTTATTTTTAACTAATATTAAATTGAACTAATTACTTCTATTAGGTTCTCTTATTGCTAATATGATACAAAAAATGCAATCACATATAAAAAACAGTGAAGGTACTATTGCTATATACTCTGCGCATGATGTAACCCTAGTAAATTTCTTGAGAGCCCTAGGCTATGATGAATTGCTAAAACCAGATTATGGTGCGACAATTGCCTTAGAGTTGGATCAAGTAGCTGGAGTAGCACCCACAGTACAGGTATTTAATTTCATACTACATATTAACTAATTATTTTTAAGCAATAATTATGTGGAAGTCCGTAATCAACACGTTTTCACAATTTCAATAATCTTTTTTTTTATTATAGTATGATCTAGTAAAAATTTTATATGATTAATAGTTTTCATTAAATATAATAAATAAATAATAAACTTTAATAATACATACTAATTTGATTGAAAAAAATTAAATAATGCATGATTTTAATTATTAATATCATTAAATGTTACATTATTAAATTCAAAAATAGTAGCAGATTTTTACTTCAAAATTGATTCAATAAAATTTCTAGTCTTAAAGCTGTATTTTATCCTTTATTTCTAGTCTTAAAGCTGTATTTTTAGTACTTAAAATTTGTTATTAAAATTACATTTGTTTGGATTAAAATGCAGAATAACTAATTTGGAACTGAAAGAAAGATATTCCAGATTTTTTCACAATTATACATCTTACATCTTGTTAGAGAGAGTAGAATATTTGTTTGTATTTATTATTAAATAAGATTAAAACTATAATATTTTCTATAGGTTCTATACTTCAATGATACTCAGACAACAGTACCAACAATAATTCCGATATCATCGTGTTCTGATACAAAACTGTGTACTTTAACCGAATTCATTCATCACCTGGAAGTTGTGACAGACATACTGCCTAGTAATAATTGGAATGATGAGTGTAAAATAACATGAGTGTTTACTGTATTATAAATGTCTTCCAGTATATTTATTATACATCCAGGTGATGATATTTAGTTTATTGATTGATGCATATTTAACTATATAAATAAGCATATTGAACCATATGTAATTGAAGTTTAAACACATTATGTATATATATTATTTAGGTTTAAAGATCAGGCATTACTTAAATAAAAAATTATATGTATATCTTTTTTTTAACTTATTTTATATCCACATGTTTCGGCTAGCCTTTACTCAGTGGCATATAATTGGTATCCTAAATTATTGAAAACACATTGCTCCATGGTATTAAACATTCACTATTGTAAAATCCACTGAATAAAGGCTAGGACGTTAACCGAAATATGTGGATATAAAGTGAATTTGAAAAAAGGGTTCATACATATAATGTTTTTTTGATTTAAACCTAACTAATTCATGTATATATATATATATATATATATATATATATATAGATATGGAATTTTATGATATGAGTGGAACGAATATTAAATGCTTAATATGAACAATCATAAAATAAAGTTGTGTTAAAAAAATCTGAGTGCTGTTTTGTTCATATTAAACATTTAATATATATATATATATATATATATATATATATATATATATATACACCTAAGTCTGTTTTTACACGGAGATTGGTTCCAGAAGAAGCCGTGTAAAAAAAAAAACGTGTAAAAAAAGACATTGATCTTATACAAAAATGGGTGATTTGTTCCTAATCTCTAAAACCTATTAAAATTGGTGAAAAACAAGAATTTTTAAGAACAAGAATTAAATTAGTGCTATTCACATTTGCTTTGACCAGTAAAAATTGTTTGTACGCGCTAAAGGGAAATTCACTTAAATCTTTAAGCTAGTGTTCGCAAACTATCGATACTATCGATGGTTTCAGACTTTTTTCTTTCATAAATACTTTTTTGTGATATGAACATACTTCGCAAAAATTTAATTTGACAAAAAAAATTCAGGTACATAAAATTTCAAATCGTGCTAAATGGAATAAATTCGTGTAATAAAATTAAAAATATTCAATTTTCAAACCGTGTTATATCAAAACCGTGTACAAAAAGACCGTGTAAAAACAGACTTAGGTGTATGTATATATATATGTATATATATATATATATATATGAGTGAGTTCTTGAGGGCGATACATCAAACAAAGAAATATCGCCCTCAAGAACTCACTCATATATTTCAACATCAAAATTAACTACTAAATCATATATATATATATATATATATATATATATATATATATATATATATATATATATATATATGTATTAGCATCAAATTCAAGATTATACAAACTTTTGTAGATAGCTAGTTTCTGTGGATAATTTATTTAAGATTTAAATTTTCTGAACAAAAATCCGTTTTTTCTTAAAAAATTATTTATTTCATTCTACATTTTGAAGATATGGGATGTCTCTTATTCGGGAAGTATGAAACTAAAAAAAAATCTAAATTTAGACCTTCATTAAAAATCAAATTTAATATTTATTGATATTGTATGAATTCTCTTGCAGTCTTGAACGATACATGAAAAATTATATATATGTTGAACATCGAACAAAAAAAAACTGTGTATGTATATATATATATATATATATATATATATATATATATATAATATGCATAAATTGCATATATTTAAAGAGCAATAAGTAAAATTATTAAATAAAGTATATTATTGTGATCAAAAAATCTATAGATGTTAAGTATGAATGATATTTAGAAATATTGTAATTATAAAAATTCCAATGCCTAATAATAAGCATTTAAGGTTCAAAATCTACTTATAAAAAAAATATCTTTGAAACTGCTGTTAATATTTATTATATATAAATACTGTTGAAAGTTGTTACTAAATAATTAGTTTTCGCCTAATTGCCTATTTTAGTAATACTTGTAGTTTGTGATTCCAAATGTGCATTTAATATATTTTTCTGAAGTAATATGCATTATTAATTCTTGCTCCATATTATTTACTGTTTAAAAAGCTCCAATAATGTACTTTTTCATTAGAAAGAAATTATATAAATTAGCACGTTCTTCTTTATTTAATTCTTCGATATAGATTATGATCGTTTTGTAAGGTTTTGTACCTTGCTGGTACTTTTACTACCTGCGAATGAGTTAAGCTTTAAGAGCCTTCGTAAATTGTATGTGCCTCTATTCAAGAGAAGTAAATTGAAAATTATTAAAATAACTTAATTATATTAATATTTGATGTTAATTTGTCCAATGATTGATTACTATACTTTACACTAAATGTACTATATATCATATTGCATTCAAAAATATCGTCATAACACAAGTATATTCCCTTTGAGGATTTGCAATAGATCGATATTCTGGATTCATTAAATATTTTGAATATAGATTTTATGTATTTACTTGTGCAATAAACTTATTTATGTATTACAAAAGTGTCTCGTAGCCACAGTATTTTTTGTAGGAACTACATTTATTGTTGAAACAAAAATGATAGCTATGAAAATGACATGAATCCATTTATTGCATCAAAACACACACTTGAATTTACTCCATAGAACAAACCACTGAAACTAAATAAATGAACTTGTAAGCAATGTGTGATACTATTAGGTTATGTTAAAAATAAGAACCCATCGTGTGTTTCAAAATTTTTATTTGAGACATTTTAATTACAAATATATTATTGTACTTCCATTGTGGATCCTGATGTCTCCTCAGTGTATTTGCCCTTATCTTTGCCAAGTGCTGCCAAGCGTCCTTTAGCTCGCCTGTCAATGATTTTCTTACGGTCCCTGTCCATTTTCAATTTAACTATAACACATTTTGAGGGATGAATACCGACGTAAACGCTGTTACCATTGGCCTTTTCTCTTTGAATTCTTTCAATGTATACTACAAATTTCTTTCGGTACACTTGAACAACTTTACCGACTTGTTGGCCTTTGAAGTGCCCCCTTACGACTTGTACTTCATCATCCTTACGTATGGGCATAGATCTCACATTGTACTTTTGTCGAAGTTCTTTCGATAATGGAGAGGTCATTAAGGTTCTCCTTACATGTGAGGGAGCGGTGAAATGCCTCTTCCTATTTTTGCTTCTCGAAGAAGTAACCAACTTGTTAAACTTCATTTTTATTTATTAACCAAAAGGTTAAGTGACAACAACACGTTTTTCGTACAAACGGAAGAACAAGAAAGATTGAGGTACGAGGGAGGATGTATTACAGAAAGTATTGCGTGAAGTTGATTGCATTTTACTCGGCAATGCCAACATCGCGGATAGCTTATTGCCGCATTAGAAATATTTTCTTTGATGATGATAATACGTTAAAATTCAAAAGAGAAAATGCAAATTAAATTAAAATTAGTTTTGTTAACCCTTTACACTCGGATGCCGTCACAAAATACGTATTAATTCTGCATCCGAGTAAAAAGTGTTGATATAATTAATATTAATTTATTTTTCCTGCTGGCTTTTTGAATTATAAATATTTTTTCATCCATGATTTAAGTTTTTAGTTAGAAATATCTACAAAAAAATTAAAAAATTAATGTATAAATTATAATTTTTTTGACCTTCCTTCGCAAAAAAATAGTTTCAACTTTTAATGTCGCTCACGAGACCCATAAAAATGTAAACAAAATTTAAACTTATTTAAAGCTCTATACAATATCTGATCATTTCATGCGTATATGTTTTTTTATTGGATCTCCGAGACCGCTACACCTGCCTTCCCAACAATTTAATCATGATTAAATTAATGATTAAAAACAAAAAAAATAACCGCAGTTAATTATTTTGTCAAAACAAGTAAAATGTTTTTCGAATTATTGGAATCGGACCTCCGTTCTCTCAAAAATTTAATTACCATTTTTGGCACTTTTTGCTCTATATCTTAAAAACGGAAAGATCGGCCTTTGCAAAAACTAATCAGCACGTTTCCTAAGAATCGAAGAATTCAGAAAAACATTATTGAAATCAGTTGATCTGTTTCCGAAATCGTCAAAAAAAAGTATACGCACATACATGCACACACACATGTATTCATTTTTTCTAAGGTATGCCAAAATATTCAGAAGGTTTTGAAACGAAAAAGATATATAAAAATTTTTATTTTAGATTTTTTTGCGATTACTTAATTGACCCCACGGGAAGTTGCAGTAAAAACGAAAATTATTCGAATAACACATCAGTAACTATGAACTAGAGCATAAAAATGTTTGTTAAAAATTTTACTATCAATGCTATCAAGTACCATCACTATCTCGACATGCCTCTTTGCCAACGGTTGTCAACTTCGTCGCTGACCATGAATAATGCCATGGCGTTTTCCTGATAATAATTTATCGGGTTTGAGTACAATTTGATAGTTATAATAACTGCCGCAATAATTTCTTAAATAACTTTGATTAAAATTGATTACTCATCTGTTTGCTCGATAAAATTATATAATGTACATACATACATTAAACTCAGCAGAAAACAAAAATGTACGAATAAATTATAATTAATGATATTAATTATTCCTCATCTCTGACATATACTTATATAGTACTTATAAAACTTATAAGTATATAGTACTCATAAGAACTTATAAGCTTTCCATTAAATTGATTATCATTTATTATTTATGGCACAAATATAACAATATGCACAATATACAAAAGTAACCAGACACTAACTTGAAGAAATAAAATTTTAGAAGTTTCAAAAAACTTTTTTGATATTTTTTCTTTCTTTTAATGTTGTAGTTTCTTCAAACTTCTGAACGAAATATGAATGTTTCATTTGAAGTATAAAACATTATTATCATTACTATAAAAATTGTAATAATATTGGTATCAACTCAAAAATTTGATACCAAAATTATGCATATTATTAAAATCTCTTTAAGAATAATAGATAATTCCTATAATAACAGATAATTTTATTTGCATATATCTAATTATCACTTTTGACCATCGAAAGATCATTTTTGCAGGTATTTTTTCAAAAGTGCTGTGTACCTTTGACTTTCTCAAAAACTAGAAAATTTTGACGCCGACGATACAAATGAACTATACTTTTTTAATCATTGAATGAATGATATCTATACCATTTATTTTCATTTCCAAAGTCTTGGTAAATAAAATTTCGCATCGTTTCCATATCTTTTAAGATAGTTTTGGTCGTGTTTTTCAATTCTGTCATATCATATAAATAGCTAGTCGTTGCTACTTAATAGATTGTTTGAGTCATCAAATAGCAACATTTTTTCTGAAAGTTGCACAAAAGTCTTGGCATTGTGTACAACTGTACATCATAATATAAAAATTGCTTTCTTTCTCGTTCAACTAGGCGTTGAAATTGAAACCAATTACAGTTTGGTACTTGGTTTTATTCGAAAACCACCTTAAGAATCTATGTCAATATTATGTTGATGTTATTTGATTGCTTTCCTACATTTTATCATTGCATTAATCTTTCCATTTTATATAAAAATATCGCTTAGTTGACACTTTTAAATTTGATAACTGAGCATATCATCTCCTCGCACATCTATGAAAACATTCCACATATTTCTAAATATGATTATACTATTGCTATACTATAAATATCTAAATATGCATAATCTTTACTACTTATTTACAAGTTAGAGGATAAAATATTTTATTTTCCTTTTACAGTAGAGAGAAATTTTAATAATATAGAAAAACGATAAAATAAAATGTAATTGTTCAAATATCTATATTTTCATTAAGCACATATATAAATTAACATTATAAAAATTTACATACATGCATATATATATATATATATATATATATATATATAATTTTGATATATTATCTAAAAATTATAAAGCTATAGATATAAAATATACATATTTTAACTACAATGAATTAAATATTGTTCAGGTGTTTTGCAACAATAACAAAATATATAGGTGATTTAAATAACAAAATAATACTAATATTTTGAACCGAATCCTAAACAATCTATAATTTGAATTAAATTCAAATTACTGAAATATATAGTTATACAAATAAGCATATCTATGATCACTTGGGATGTATGGTATATGTTTATATGGACATATGTACGATTAGTTGTGTATATAAACATTTACGCAATGGAAATTCATTATATAAAATAAGGGTGCATATTCATTACCATATACATATCCACATATACACGTATATACAAAAGCACAAATCTTAATTGTGAATATAAATTTGTAATTAAAACTTTTAAATTCTTTTACTAGGTGGAATTAAATGTGAAGGTAATTCATTTGGTAATTCGTGTCCATCAATCTTAACCTGTATCAAATGCATTGCAAGTGCGAATTCGTCAGAGTCCAAAGCCCCATCTTTGTCAACATCTGATAATTTCCATATTTTTCCAAGAACGGAGTGTGGCAGTTTAGATTTCAACATCTCAGTTTTCGCAGCTAAAATATATAACAATATATTAATTTGTTGAACTGGATTTATATAAAAATAGTTAAAAATTATGAATAAAGGAAATAAATTAGTGAATAACTTTAATAGTTAGCTTTCGTGTCTAATTTCACGAATTAAAGTATTTTACTCATTAACAACTATTGTTCAAGTTCTTTCAATATATATGAAGTACATTTATTGCAAATAAACTTATAATTATTGACAAACGTTACAATTGAAGCCCATAATACTTTTTTTTGCTTTGAAGAGGCATTAATAATTAAATACATTTATTTCCATTGACTTTATTCTTGCTCTAATTGTTCTCAAATAAAAAATCAAAGAAACAAAGCTTGAATAAAATGATAGCTATGGGCACATTAGTATACGAAATCGACATTTGCCAAAGAAAACTCGATATCGAAGGATAGATGAATTTTTCCATATTCGAAAAGTATCTTTCTAATTAAATTTTTATATCGTTATTGATAGTCTATCAAAGCTGTTAAAAATTATTTTCAATAATGACGAATGAGCTTGAAATGGTCAATGGTACTAAAGCTATTTATTAGCTATTTATAGTCCAAGCCTTAAAGGAATTCAGAAAATGTCTTGTAGTAGTTTCCAACTTATTGATACCTCATCATTTGGTTATGACTTGAATGAAAATCGGAGAACTCGATTTCTTTTTCACTTTTTTGGCATCGACATAAGTTATCAAAAGAAAACTCTATGAACGACACATATAAAAGCGCACATAAATGTTGAACCACGCAATTCATCATTAGATACATCTTTAAGTATGCTCACTCGGGCAGTCATAAGGCTGCATTTGTTTGCATCATTACTGAATTTTCAACCTTTGTAGCCGATGTAGGTACAATTTGCTAATACATTGATGATTTGACGATTAACGAAAAATTTTTGAACCACCACGGAAACGACACATTAGTTCCAGTCGCATCAATGTTCTTTTTGCTTTTCTCCTTGGATAAGCCGAACTTCTACGACGTTTGCTTTCTATATTTGCGACAAGTCAATGAAACATATATTTTTAAGGATACTATTAAACTCATCTTCTCAAAAAAGTGATTTTTTATATAGAACTTATATAGAATTAGAATCACTAAACGAAATCATAGTGTTGAATTTTTCGCAGTAATATCCCACGTATCATTTTTAATCATTGAGGATATTTGAATTATTTTTTGGGACAGTCATGTGATAAGATTTCTTTTACTGTTTTTGTTGCTAATGACGAACAATCTTTAACAGAACACTGACCGTCGGTCGAAATGTATATGATAATTCTTTTTTTATGCGATAAGTCTTAGAACATTCTTCGGTTTCTTTTGATTTATTTATTTATTTAGTAATAATAAATAATTATTTGTGTTAAATGTAATAACGCTGATGAAACCAGTATGAATAAAACCATGTCAATTTCAGCATTTCAGGACCAAATGATGAGATAGAATGCTGAAAAGTGGGATATTGAGTTTTCTTCTATCCTTGTAAGATATTGAACAGATTGCTATTTTGTATTATTAGAATCATTTTTCGTTTTTAAATCCTCAGTTTTCTAATAGATGTTCATCACAATAGTTTAATTCACTACTTAAAATAAAAACCATAGAAAGCTTTTAAAAATATTTTAGCCCACAGTACTGTGGATTAGTTGACATATAAAAACTATTGAGTAATTATAAAAAAAAACATTACAACTTTGCATTTGATTAATTCAAGCAAAAATGGTTTCTGAATTTGGTTTCAAATGAAATTTCGAAAATAATTCACCTGCGCC